GTTAAGAATAAATGGAGAAGTCCAATAAATTGTATTAAGTGCTATAGTGTGAAATTTCTTATTTTGTCACCCTGTAAAACAAACAATGGGGAAATGGATATTAAAGATATGCTCGAGGGAAATCCCTTAACAGTCAAGTTAGTAATGTGGTTGACGATGATGAGAATACAACAATGATTCTCAAGGGTTGTTCAAATAGTAAAAAGGCTACCTTCATCTTCATTTGCTATTATGTTTATAGAACCTAGTGATTGGGGCCTGTAGCAGCATGAGGGTAATTTTTGGGAGTTTACGTGGTTCTTTATTGATTAACAAAGCACATGAGAGGATTAACTTGAGGTAATATTAAGATATTATATGTGACCAATAAACTATCAACCTTCTTACCTTAGTTGTTAGTATAGACACGTGTAGTCTTGTTTGTCGACTAGTGAATTAAAGTTTTCATAAGTCTATAGTATTTTTTTAGAGATCTGACTTAAAGATAGGTTATGATAGCTCGTTCAAGATATCATTTTTCTAATTTATGTGAAGCCCTCCAAGTTATATTCTAATGTTTTGATGCAAATGTGACAACCTTCTTAGAGCGTCGAGGTTATGGTCTTATGAGGTAGTTAAAGGGGACGAGAAAGAAAAAAAAAACTAGAGGGAAAGGAAATTAAAAAAATGCAATTTTTTCTTTTTTCTTTGCATGCTAGAAAAATTAAAGAAAAAATAAATGGATATAAAATATTTAAAGTTGTTTAGTCTGATTTGGACCCGATTCTAAATTATTAGTTAAGTCATGTAATAAATGTATTAGAATATATGCAAAAAATACTTAACAGTCTTCTATATATATATATATTAAAATATAAAAATATTTTAAAATATAGTAAATACCCAAGCATACACAATTTGAGTCGCCTAAGCCCAATCTAACTCCCCGGGTCATCCAAGCCCAATTTCACTAATATATATTCTTAAAAAGTATTTAAGGAATTTTTAAACAATGAGCTAACTTAAATATTAAAAAATTATATGTAATAAATTTAACTAGGAATTAAATAAAATTTAATTAAATAATTATCCCAACTCCAATTGAAGAAATACTTTAAGAATTTAGATTTAGTATTAATTTTATTTAATAAAATTAATTTAATTATTAATTTTACATTTTATTTAAAATTTAATAATAATATATTTTATTTAAAAATTAAATAAAAATTTAAAATTTAGTTTCTTTTGATAGAAAAATTGAAGAAAAAGAGACAGATAAACTAAAATAATCACACAAATCGATTTATTTGAAGGGTTGGATATTAACTTGAATTGATATTTATATATAAAAAAAATCACATCAATACTTTATTTTAATTTTAAAATAGAAGTTGGACTGTAAAATAATTAGTTATTATCTAAGTGAAATTTAGTATTTTAAAAAGAGTATATTAATAAAAAAAATATATAGTAAAACAAACTGAAAGAAACCTAGTTTATGAAGTTTTAAATTTAAAGACCTTTAGATCCAAACATTGGCAGTCGGCGTAGAAAAATATATTATACAGAAAAAAAAAAAAAAAAAAAAGGGAAAGAAAAACCTGAAGAATAGGAACACGAGGCAATTTCTTAGCCAACTCCTCCATCATCTCCTTCGACACCGGCGCCGCACCGCACACGATTTCTTTCAACGACGACAGATTATACTCTTCCATCAACTTCCTCTTCTTGGCCAGCGCAAGCATCAATGGCGGCACCATGTACAAGTGAGTAACCCTCTGCTTCTCCACGCACCTCAACAGCTTCTCAAGCTCGAACTTTTCTATCGACACGACCTTGTCCCCTCTCCTCAGCTGCGCGTACACTATTACCGATAAACCCAGCACGTGAAACATCGGGACAACACACAAAAACACGTTTCTCTCCTCTTTGTAACGCTCCTGATCTGCCGTCGCTATAAGAGCCGCCGCTATAAAATTTCCGTGAGTTAAAATCACTCCCTTGCTCATCCCCGTCGTACCCGATGAGTAAAGAAACCCGGCAACATCGCTCTGTTTCACAACAATCTCTGGAAGCTCATTTACCGAGCCAGCCAGTTCCAGTAAGTTTTCGTAAAGGAAAACATTATCATCAGTCTTTAGCAACGGGGTTTTAATGGGTTTTAAGAGGAGTACAGGGACGTTGAATTGTTTGACTTTTTGGAGAAGATCGGGTGTTGTGATGATGAGCTTTGGATTACAGTCATTGAACTGGTGAGAAATTTCGGCCGGCGTGTAAGCAGGGTTTGCGGTGGTGAAGATTGCGCCGAGAGAGACGACGGCGAGGAAGCAAACGGGCAAGTGAATGGAGTTACGAGAGAGGATTAAAACAACGTCGTTTGCAGAGAGTCTAAGGTGGTGGAGAAGAGAATGAGCGAGCTTACAGACATTGGTTTTGAGTTGGTCAAAGGTCAAAGCTTCGTCGGAATCGGATTCAACGAGGGCGGTGTTTTGTGGCGAAGAACTAATAGAGATTGATTGGAAGAGGAACGAGGTAAGAGAGAGATTTGGTTCTGTGGGTATGTTGATGGGTGGTCTTGGGGATGTGTAAATTTGGGTTTTGGGATCGAAGGTGGTTGTTGTTGCCATTAATGTTGAATCTCCGGTTGTACTGTTTGTTTCCCAGGAAAATCCTTTACTTTCCGAGCTCTGTTTGAATAGAGAAGTTCGAAAATCGAAATGGTGAAGATGGTAGTGACAGAAAATACCGGCCAAAATATTAAACGGACAAAAAGAACGTGGGTGTTTATTTCAGTGTATGTCTTATTAGTATTTTTATATCTTAGGTGGTGATATAGGAAAACGTGTATGTATATGTGTATAGTATAAATTTTCTAATATTAATATTTTTCAATAAAACAAATTGATATTTTTTTAAAACGTCAACTAACGTCATCACCCACAAATAAAACAAATGCATATAACATTTAGGGTTTGAATATTAAATTAGATATGTGGTATTTCCCAGTAAAATTTAGTTTAAATGAAATAATATTTCTATTTATAAAATAAATAATTTAAATTTGATTCCTACTTCTTATTAAAAAAATTGTGGATGTATTATTTTTATGTTTAAGTTTATTTTATATTCTTTAAAAATTATTTAGATATCTTCAATTGTTATTTGCATGACTATCAATATAATAAAATTAAAACTTACTATTGATGTAGCTTAATAAGATATCTTCTCTTAGGAATATTTCATATTTATATGATGGGATTTGTATTTATTGAAAATTTTTATTATATTTATCTTGAAATATATTTTATATTTATTATAAATATTATTTATGTGTATTCTATAGAGTTGTTGAAGAAAAATTCTTTATACATGAGCGTACAATTTTATTAGTAATGTACTATCAAATTATCATAATGAAAAATCTCTCATCGGTTTTTTCTATAGATATTGTAATATTCATATCCAAAATTTGATTCGGGATTAATTTTAACATAAAAAAATGTATAAAAACCGATTTTTGAAATTAATAAATTTTAATTTAGTGTTGAATTATGAAAAAAAATAAGTTGATGATGAAATTAAAAATAATTTTGAGAAAAATGAGTGAAAATTTGGGTTCGGATGATGTTTTTGAAAGAAAATTCGAAAACTGAGGGTCATAATGTAATTAAAAAAATTACACTATGTAAGACTGCCCAGTCAGCAATCTTGACGAACCGGAGCGCATCGCGTGACAAGGTACACTGACTCGGTGTCATGCGGGAGGCCACACTAGTGATCCACGTGCCCCGCGATCGGACGGCCCGGAAGCGTTCCCGCGCGCGTGGACGATCTGAATCTGTTCCCTCCTCAAGCGCGATCAGTCGGTCAACATTAAACGTAATGAACAGCACAGATTCATTTTCTCTTTAAATGCGATCGGATGGTCGAGATCAACTCGCGATGAACAGTCCAGACCCATTTTTTCTTTAAACGCGATCAGACGGTTGAGATCAAACGCGATGAACGGTCTAGATTAACACGAGACGGGTATAAATATTTTGCATCACACCGAATCCAAACCCTAATCACTAACCTCCCACCGGAGAAGAAAAACCAGTCACTGGAAAAGAGAGCCGACCACTGCTCGCCGTCGTGCCGGAGCCATCTCCAACTGCCAAAAAAGGTAAAAATTCTCCCATCAGCTCGGAATTTGATTCCGAGCACCCCCATGGCCAAATCGGAACAAAAAGAACTACGGGTGAGCCAGAAATCGCGAATAAAACTCGCAATTGCCTCCGATGAACCCCTTCCCGTTTCTCGTTTCGTGCAATTTTTTTACCGTTTTATTCACCGTTCTATTTTTTATATATTGACTGAAGAAAAACATTCAGCCGCAAAAGTGAGCCGGCAGAGCTGTTGCACCAGACGGTAGGTTTTCATTTTTGATTTTTTTTTGGCCAACCGAGACCCCCTAACATGTTTTCTCGCATGAATGAGTATAAAACCGACTAAAACTAGCCGAAAACACCCAGGCCAAGGCAAACTGCCATCGCCGGAGCACGGTGGTGTCACCGTGTCAGAATTCTGAAATTAGCTGGAAAAGATTTTTAACACCGATTTTGGATTTTTTGGGGCATTTTTAGATACGTAAAACATATTTTAACCTCCGCATAAAAATTCAAAAAATCCGAAGATCACTAGTAGGTGCAGTAGAAAGTTCGATAGTTCGAGCGTTGATTCGGGTAAGAATCCATCACCTTATTATCTATTATGGAATTGAAGCTTAATGATCGGTAATATAGTATTTTGTGTAATTTAAAAAAATTTGAGAATAATTACAGGTTACCAATGGAGGCAGAAATCGGTTAGTTATTTATTTATTATTCTGCTTAACTGATTGTTGAATTTACAGTTTTAAATACATGATGATATACTGGAATGGTTAAATGATTCAATTATGTTTCTTTAATATACATATTGCTTGTCTTACATGATTTACAGTTGATTGTAAAATTGAAAATTAATATACAAACGAAAAATTGTTTGGTCATGTAAATTAATGAATGATAGCCTTATTGGATATTTTAGACGAACCGGGTACATAGAGAATCATACCGTGAACGTTGCCTCATACCGGACGGGGTATCGAGGAATGATATTTTTAACGTTCATATCGAACGGGGTATGGGACGGTTCGATTTACCCTCACACCGGACGGAGTATTGAGAGATAATATTTTTGACGCTCATACCGGACGAGATATGGAAGCGCTGGTTAGTCAACAATATTGGATATTGGTTCACGCGTAGTGGGACATCCTTATGGGCCTCCAAAGATACCAGTATGCAAATAAAAATGGAAAGTGGTTGTTATTACTCACTTGAAAATGAGATTGGAACCTTATTTGAGTTATTGTCTCTATAGGTCAATTTTAGAAATCTCGCAACGGTAAATATATGTAATAAATGGTTTTTTTATGATAAATTAATTTACTTAAATCAAGAGGTTCATTAGTTGTTTTTATGATTTTTACTAACCTTCATTTTCTGTAAACCCTAAACTCTATTATTTCGCTTTCGCACTTAATTCATGATTTTATTTCCTTTTAAGTTCCGGGCCTTTACAAATATAAACATAATAATCTCAAATTTTAACACAAATTAGTTAAAGCCCTATCCATTAAAATGTAATCTTTTCTTCTCTTCATTATAGCCAAACCGAATATTGAAAGCTACACAAGCTCGTTGGTCTAGTCTCAAGTTTGGCTCCTTAAAATGACATTGTTATTGATGCGGAACCCCAAGACCCTTGCTTGAACCTTAGAACTCTTCAATTGGTTTAGAACGGAATTTAGATCACAAGTAAAAAAGGAATCAAATTTATTCAATCACCCAAATGGTAGAAGTTAAAGAGAACCCAAGAAACATAAATGATATCCCTTGAACCCAATCCAAACAAGCATCAAGAACAATTGAAATAAAAAATCAAAATTGAAATACAAGTGATAACAATTGTATTCCAAATCAACACCTTGTGCATAAAGTAAAAAGAAAGCCAAAACGCTCTCAACTCAATTCTGAAATGTTTGATTACAACTCTTGATGTCCACAAAGAAGAGTTTTTTTGGTATTTATAGCCAAAAAAATCAATGATAAGTTACAATACAATAACTACAATTGTAACTCCCATAATAACTAGGTTAATTATGTGGTAATTACAATTGTAACTCCAATAATAACTAGGCTAATTATGCGCATGTAATTGTTATGTAACTCCTTGTAACTCCAATCTTCTTAATCAACACCACTAATTGTTTGTAGCACTATATAATTATGGGCTCATTATTGTAATAATACTAAGACAAGACTTAAGCTCAAAATGAGTTATACTTAACTATATAAGCTTAATTAACTCAAACTAAAATAAAACAATCTAAAATACTTAAAACAACTCAATTAATCCAGTCCATACACAAGGTTTATTCATCCATTATCAATAAGACTCAAACAAGCCCAAATTATCCTAAATCACTTAAATCCAATTA